CCCCAAAACCCCAAAACCCCAAAACCCCAAAACCCCAAAACCCCGCAGCATTTAGCAAAACTGAAAGTAATTCTTTAATTATGGGTTCATGCTGACCTATTGGAAAAGCTAAGAATGATCATCATGATGATCTAAGAGATAGAGATCGCAGTGGCTCAGACAGCAAACATCAGGGGAATGAAGAGATATCACTAGAAGGGAATATCGAGGGTGGAAGAAATTGTAATAGAGGATATGGCAATAGAAGTAAGAAGTATAAGCACTTATCTAAAAATCAAGCAGACAACAATGGTACTCCAACAAATCCACAAAAAGACGAAATCATAGTCAAAAATTCCAAAAGAGATCCTGGATCTTCTAAAAACTCCCCAAAAAATGCTTCTCCCGACTCAAAAATATCTCCTTCAAATCAACAAGTTTCCAACTCCCCCCAAAAAGTACCCACCCCCTCTCTAGAACCTAACGTCCTTGACCAAGAAGGTCCTCCTTCTAAACCTCCAGCAGATAATTCCACACCAGCTCCTGATGCTTCAGTCCAAGCCGATCCTAGATATTCCGAAGTTAAATCCTCTAAATCGGATGGAGCGATTCTTGGGCAGGAAGGTTCACAATCTTTTTCAGAAGAATCTAGTTTTGGTAATGCTTCAGGGCTAGAGAATAGCCCATATGGTTCACTCATTAGTGCCAAAGGAGTCATTAATCCTTCGAATGATTGTTTCTTTATAGTAGTCCTTCAGTGTCTGTTTGCAATTGAAGAATTAAAGAAAGACATTTACTTCAAGAATAAAGGAGAAATCACAAATGGATTGAAGAAAGTCCTCTCCCAGTTTAAAGATGAGAATCCAGTTGATGCTAGCGAGGTCAGACTTCTGTTTAATCAGGAATTTGAAAGCCACCAGCAGCATGATGCTAACCAAATTATGATGGAGATGTTTCAGAAGATAAAAGCAGAAATTAAACCAAGTAGCCTTAGAATTCCGAAAAATAAAGACTTTGAAGAGTGGAATGAATTCCAGAAGTGTAATAGCACTGTTATTGATAGACTATTTGCAGGCATGACCTGAAAAGTATTTGCTTGAAAGAAATGAGACCATGAAATCAAAGTCTTTGAAGAATTCTACAACATTCCATTAGAATGAAGTGAGGAAAATCCTTCAATAGGGTATGAAAGGCTTAAAGAATGACTTGATGAAATTGATGAATCTGATTTTCTTTGAGAAAAATGTAAAGAAATCCAAGTTTGTTCCATCAAAACAGAAATCATCCAATATCCAAGATATTTAATACTAGTCTTGCAAAGATTATGTCCTTTCACACAACAGAAGATCAATGGTAAAATCAAATATGATAAAGACTTGAAATTAGGAGGTTCAAACAAGAAGCAAGCCATAAAATACACTCTCAATAATGTGATCAACCATTATGGCTCTATCAAATTCGGACATTATACATGCTTATGTAAAGGAAGAACAGGGTGGAAGGAGTTTAATGATGAACAAGTTACATTACTCAAAGAAAGTATGATAGAAACACAAGAGGACGCATATATCCTTATTTATAAAAAACAAAAATAGACTGTTCAATTGGATTTGAGTAGAGCGGGGTTTTGGGGTTTTGGGGTTTTGGGGTTTTGGGG